GGATGGCCGTCAGCTCGTCTGTCAGCGTGGGGTCACGGCCACACAATTGGTCCTGCAACACACACACCACCACGGCTCAGCTTGGGGCCCCTCTTTGACCCAAGTGCAGCAATGCAGCGCTGCAGAGGGGAGACAGAAGCCTCCTAAGGAGGGGGGAACAGATGCTTGAATGCAAACCCCAAACCCTGGGGATGCATTACGCAGAGGAGCAGAAAAGTGGTTTCTCAGGTGTCTGCCCAGTTTCGAGGGGAAAGCAGAGGGCTGTGACAGCCACCCACAGCCACGTCCCGTCCCGCAGCGATGCAGAGCTTGCCTCAGCTTACGGGCTTCTCCCTGCCACCAGCCTTCACTTCTGGTGTCTCAGGGCATGGACTGTACTCACAATTAACGTGGTCACCAGCAGGTTCTTCTTCGCCACCTGGGCATGGGAGAAGATGCTCTCCAGCACGGGGGTCATGTCGGGTTTGTATTGCTCCCGCAGGCTGATGACACACTTGTCGTAGTGAGCTGTGGGGCAGAGCATGGTGAGACCCCAGCCCCCACCAAAGAGCCTCCCAGAGAGCCCCCCCCAGACCCTCACCGTGCTGGAACTGTGTCTCCACTTGCAGGTAGCGCCGCAGCAGGTCCAGCACCACTGCCTTCATGTAGCCCCAGATGCCACTGCGGTACCTGGGGAGCGGAGAGCCCAGGGTGCTGCGAGGTGGCAGCAGTGGGGAGGGGACCGGGGAGGGCCCTGGGGGGCACAGGGCTCACCTCTGCACCAGCTGCACCACGCTCTGGGTGTTCATGAAGAAGACCTCCCGCTCAGCCTTCCTCTGCAGCGTGGCTGCGTGGGTGTCCAGCACGTTGGCGATCTGCAGGGAGAGGGCACAGGATCTGCTGCGGTTGGGGCCAGCGTGGCCACAGGGCTGCTGGCCCCCCGGCTCACCCGGGGACAGCGCTGCTGCACACAGAGACTTATTTTGGTTTGTTTTTTTTTCCCTTAAGTAAAAAATGCCATGTGACAAATGAACATGGAGACACAAGCATAAACCCACAAATGTTCCTGACTCTCATTCAACTTTTTATATTATCTCTTGGCAGGACAAACTCGGGCAGAAACTCCTAATTAGCTCCAGCCAAAAAGGAAGCCGTGGTGGAGCTGGGAGCGCGGCCCCTGGCCCGCTCACCTGCTGGCTGGGGAAGCGGCAGAGCACGGAGGTGATGTTGCTGGCGTACTGCGCCATCACCTTCCGGATCGACTTCTCCACGGACGGGGGGATCCTTCCCGAAATGCTTGTCATGATCTCCTGCAGCTCCAGGAGGGGTAGGGACGGGTCCCGCAGGGTCTTCATCAGCTGTGCCACCCACTCCTTCACCTGCGGGGAGCAGGAGCTGGTGCTGCTCACACCCACCAGTGCTGCCCACACCCCCCGGGCACTGCCCATCTTGCCATCATGGCAAACACAGGACCCTTGGATCACCTTTGTCCCCAGCACCCACCTTGGTGCTGAAGTAGGGCTCGGGCAGGCAGTACCCGTTCATGACGTTGGTGAGATTGTCCAGCATGTTGCGGAGGACCTGGTGCTGCTTCTCGCCAGTGATGGGGAGGGTCTGCTGTGGC